AGTTAACTAACGGCCATTCCTACCGCGCGTTAATGAGGCGCGGACTACAAGTCCCGGCGCGCACCGCGCGGCCGCCGCCATCTTGTGAGCGCAGCTTTCCCGCCGCCGCCGCCTCCCCTCACGCGGGTCCTCCGAGCCGCCAGGGGGCGCTGGAGTTTGGGGCCTCCCCTCACGCCGAAAATAAAGGGTAATTTCGCCAATAAAAAGTTGTTTTTTCCCGATAAAAACGTGGAATTCGGGGCGTTTCCTTCAGGAAAAAGGCGGGGGATGGGTGGGTTCGTTATGGAGGGGCGGGGATGAGCGAGGTTTTGTCGGAGGGGGGGGGAGGAGGAGGGAGGAGAAAGGAATTTTTTCTTGTTTTAAAAATAAGAGCAAAAATTCGGGATTCGTTCTTTATAAAATAATAAAATCCTTGGATTTCTCCCCCACAAACGGCAGAACTCAGAGGTTTGGGGTTTGTTTTTTTTTTTTCCCCCGTAAAACTCCCGGAGTCGAGGAGCGGTTTTTAATAAAAAAGCGAAATTCGGTAAAAAAGGCGAAATTTTCCTTGCGGGAAACCCCCAAATTCCCGATATTCCCACTTTTTTTAGGGGGTTGAAGGCGTTTTTCCTTAAAAAAAATGAAGTTTAGGGGTTTATTCCTTAAAAAAAATACACGCTGGGATGGGGAGGGGTCTGGGAGGGGCGGGGTCGGGAGAGTTTTTCCTTAAAAAAAGGGAAAAAACGGGAAAATTTGGGGAGAAATCTGGGGAAAAAAAGGGGGGAAAAAATGAGAAAAGATGAGGGAAGGAGAGGGGAAAGTGGAAAAATGAGGGGAAAAGAGGGAAAAAAAAGAAAAAAACAAAAAAAAAGCGAATTTGGGGTTTCGCTGAAAAAAAAAAAGCGAAAAAAAACTCCGAGTTTATCCCGGAAAAAAATCCGCAAATCCGAGATTTTTTTTTTTTTCGTGATAAAATAATAAAAAAAAAAAAAAAAAGGGGGGGGGGAATGGTTTTTTTATTTATTTTTTTTTTTAATGGGATAAAAGGGCGGATTTTGGGATTTTTCTCCCAAAAAAGGGCAGGGCCGGGGGTCCCTCCCCCTCCCCCCTCCCCCCAAAAGGGGCCCCCG